GCCAAGTCACAAATTGGAGAACTCGAACTGCATGTAATGTGAACATGTAGTCGATAACTTGATTAGTTTCCGTGTCGACGATAGCTTATAATACACGGAAATCAATAAGTTACCGGCTATAACCGTACATGTACGTCAAAGTATCCGGGCCCGAGCCACGATGTAACCACAACGTGCGATTGACAGCCAATTTAAGACGGCTTGCACGGCCATATCATACATATCTAATCGCATCCCAGATCGCCCGGGACCGACTGCTCCGGTCCAAGGTCACGCCCGATTTCTTTGGAGGATAGCGGGCTTGGCTCGCCGCGTCCCCTCTAAATTTGAATGCCGCCCGCCAGCGAGGACGGCGATGGGTTCCCACCGCTTAGTAGTAGTAGGATCTAGGCGCTTACCGGTAGCACGGCTGGGGCTTGTTGGGATTATTTTTCCGTTGAAACGCGGACAACAATTGTTCCGCCGTCCCTCAAGTCTCCGCTCCGCTGATTCATTGCGGAGGTGTGCGATGCCTGAGCAACGGTAGGTAGGTAGGTAGGTAGGTAGGTAGGTAGAATTACACGGCCGGTCCCGCTTAGGAACGCCGGGGCCCAGGAATTATCTAAGTGTACAGGCACTGAATGTACACTATGGTCCCTGGACTCCTCCATACACCCGTAGCCGAGCTCACGGACGCAATTTTTCAACTCGCCGCGGTAGAACTAAAGGAAATACAGAGAAGCAATTAGTACCAAGTTGAATACCTCAGTTTAAGCGTTGCTTAGACGGTAGACGGAGAGAGCATAGAAATTTGAAGAACATCATGTGCAAATTTGGCCAATAATGCGATCGTCGGACGACAGTAAATCACGGCTTTTAAGAACTCTGTCTCAGAGAGTGTTGCCATGAGGTTTTGCAGATAGGGGGAGTTGGAGAATAATTGGTTGAGAAATGTGGAACGAAGTATAACCAGCTTGTCCGAGGACTTGCAGGTGAGTAGAGCATGTTCCGGGATTTCAACTTCCTCCTTACAGAGTCTGCAAAGTCTGTCCGACCTGGGTACGGGCTGATATGCGTGATCAACGTAGCACAGGATGTCAACGGCAAATTGGTGAGTTGAGAGCAATAGAGAGGTCAATGCCTCTCTATGTGTCTGAGTTTTCACCATGGATAGTGCCGCATTTGGAGGTAACCTGTGCCGGTGGTTTGTCATTCCGAGGTTCGAGCCGTCTGTGAAGCAGATAAAGCTTGTCTGATGAGTCGATTAAATCCTGAAGCCAGTCCGTCATAAGCTTGTCTACCGTTTGGGCGTAGTTCTGTATGTCCGGGATCGTCGTAGCGGCCGTCAGAACAAGAATGGGACAATGGAAAGGCAGTCTTGAGGCTGCTGTGATTAAATCTTTAGCCCAAGATTTTTTACCACGAGCGGCAAGTTCGATTGAACTGTCTAGACCTGCCCGGGCAAAGCGTTTCGGATGGAGGCCTAGGAGATACACGAGATGGCTCAAGGTGATCAGGAGACGTCGGACTCGACGAGGTTGTAACCCAGTTTCAGTGAATAGCGGCGCGATCATGGAGCGCGTGTGGAGATTGAGCATTTGACGGATGAAGCTAATTTGGAATCCAGTTCTTCAAATTTAGTTACTCGCACAAGTGGTTGACCCGTCTGACGAGACTCATGGACTTAGGGGGTCTTGACTCTCTCGTTTAGCCTATAAAATGAAAATCTAGAATTCATAACTCCTCCGTCCCCAGTGATTTCCCAGCTCGACTTTTGGGCTGAAAGACCTTATCTTCGTTATCAATCAGCATTTTCATTCGTCCAGGAGCTTACCCGCTGTTTGATGTCCCATCATTATTTGCTCTGTTCTTATTTGCTCTCTATCTAGTAATTTGTCTGTTGCGCCGGCTCTCTGTGTAAGCGCTGTGGACGTCGACTGGCCTGCAAGTCTACACAAGCGCGTCCATTTGATCCACCCCGCTGTTAGAGGGCCCCAAACTCGGGGGAGATGCGTTTCAAAGTGCCTCACGCGCTCTGCTCGTGTTTTCCTCCACTCTTTCTATAAACCCTCGCAGCAGCGAAATACAAACTTCGAAGGAGGACGCGTAAGTCTCTTTCTATACCTCTTCCCTGTCCCATTGATCGGGTTTAAAATATTGTTTACTCAAGTCTAATTGGCGAGGCGAGTAACCGCGTACGCTCTGCCGTACACAAATCCTTACCCGAGCGTTCCCACCTTTCAGGTCGTAAGCGGTTCGCGGGACAACGCCCACCTCACGGGTCGCAAGAGGTGTTGTCTTTCCGGGTAAGTAACTCTTTTGTCTCGATGACATCGCATTGACCTCCGCCCCAGCGGCCGAAAGAGAGGTCAATCCGCGCGCTCTAAGCGCAACGCTTGGAGCACCAAAGCGCGACGCTTGGAGCACCAAAGCACGACGCTTGGTCCCCGTGTCGAATCGTACTTAAGACCTGGCGAGACGGAGCGGCTCTCCAGCCTCTCACTCTGTCTCGTCAGGTATGTCCTCGATTTTCCTCTCCTACGTACGCTCCTCACTCTGTCTCGTCAGCATTGTGCTTTATTTCTGCTCTCCCACCCTTATATTTACATATATACCCACACCTAGTTACATGACTCGTAGGCCATCTCGGCACATCGCGTCGTCTCAAATAGACTCCCGAAGCCTCTTCGAGGCTGATTTCTGCTAAACCCGAGCTCTGGTGTGACCACCTGGACTACGCCAATTAGACCTTCAAGTCGACTCCTCACTATCAACCCTCTGTCTCAGACACCGCGTGGCGTCTCGTAATAGCCACATCTGCGTACCTGATGGCACACCCAGTGGGTGAATCGATAGTCATGAGTGCTACTAGTATTCGCTTTCTGTCTTGCCTATAGTAGGATTCTCCTGTCCCCGTATTTCGCACTCTTCCCGTCCGTCACAGCAGCCGAAAAACCCGTCAGATTGAAGCGCAAGCTCATAGCCTCTTCGAGTTTCAAATTTCTGCAGCCAGGGACGAGGCAAGCAAGGTTCTTGACGGTTCAAATACCCACATCCCTCCAAAGCTGTGCGTAGAAATTTTTGACGCGCGTATTTCCAGTTTGAATTTGGCGGGAATTTTGTGGGCCCATCTTGGATTAGTGATGTTGGTCTGAAAGCCCGGGCTTGGGCTCGGCCTGACAGGGTCTGGGCTTCAGATTACCCAAGCCCGAGCCCGAGCCCGAGCCCGCAGGCAGGGCTTCGGGCTTGAGGGAAATTGCAATCAATTAACAAGACCAGCAGCGGTAGGGCACAAATAATGGTACGGATGTCCCCCGACACCTCAAAACCACCACCTACCTCAGTTTGAACCTCACCAGCACATAATTTCCATTTTCGGACTCGGGAGTTGAAAATTTTTGAACCCGAGAAAGACATCCTAGACATCCTGGCATCAACAATTTGGATAGTATAACGCAAAGAATATATCTGAATGGATTCACTGACTCAATGTGCGCGTTTACTGATCCAAAAGTAAAGGTGAAAGCCGACTTTATAGGTGCCGGGCTTGAGGGCCCGACGTGGGTTTGACATTCTCAGGCCCGAGCCCTGGGTCTTGCGTCGGGCTCGGCTCGGCTCGGGCCTGGGCGGCTCGGCCTGGCGGGCCTCGGGCTTGAAGCCGAGCCCTGCACATTACTATTAGTATGCAGGATATCGATGCTCTACAGTCGGAATATGATTCTTTTCTACTATCAAGCTGGTTATTCTCCTAACTCGTCAATCCATTCTCACAAGGCACCTTCCATCCTGGCGACGTCTGCGACTTGACTAAGACTTGATCCTAGAGGCTCCGGCTCGTGCCGTGCCGATCAATCACGATGCTATGGTGACTCAGATTGATTATAATTACCGAGCCGCGAATTCTTGCCTCCTCCTACCACCAACTCCAACTTTCATAGACGTGCCATGGCGAGCGACGGGATCTACATCCGCCAATTCCGCCCCTCCGATTTCCCCCAAATCCGCGCCCTTCTATTCGAAGGCTTCGTCACCAGCCGTGAGTCGCCCACCCATCCTCCCACACCCTCGCTGCGCTGACCACCGACGAAGAGGGCAGCGTAACCCTCGTCGCAAAACGACGCTTCCTGTTCAAGTTCCCCACGCCGCTCGCGTACCTCATGTGCGGCGCCGGCCTCACCCTTCTCGCGCGCGCCGACCTCTCTAGCTGGCCGTCGCTCGGCCCGCTGCTCTCGGCGACTACGGGCGCAGGCGCACTTTTGTTCACCGCGGGCCTCGCGCTCTTCGCCGGCATCCAGCGCGCCATCCCGCGAGCCATGACGAAATTCTGCGAAGACGCGCTCGCGGCCGACATGCACGACATCGCCACGCACTACCGCGCCCCCGCCGCATTCTTCGTCGCCGCGCTCCCGCGTTCAGCGTCTCCGGGCAAATACGGCGCGGCGGACGACTCGGAGGAGGTCGTGGGCTACGTCGGGCTCGGTGCGCCCCTCCCTCTCCCTTCCCCCCTCTCTCCCTTCCCCTGCTCGCCCCTATAGGTTCCTTGCTGACTGCGCCGCAGAATACCTCCCCGAGAAGGACCCGCACACGGCGGAGGTGCGCCGCATGATCGTCTCCGCGGCGCACCGCCGGCATGGCATCGGCGAGCGGCTCATGCGCGCGCTCATCGCGCACGCGGAGGCGATCCCCGGGCTGCGGTCCATCGAGCTCGGCACGAGCGAGTACCAGCCCGGCGCGCAGCGCCTCTACGAGCGCCTCGGGTGGACGCTCTTCCACGCCGAGCGGGTGTGGGAGGGCCCCGTCAACGTCGTGATTCGCCACTTCCGCAGGCCGGTGGGCGGGGCTTAGGCGAGGCTCGTTGTGAGGCATAGGCGCGGTGCGGTTCCAGGGCTACTTTTTAGGGTAATCGGACATCGGGCATAGATGGACTTGTCTAATACCATAGAATGCATGCGCGTAGGGCGCTTCAAATCCACTGCTATCTTCAACGCTCCGGGAATTAAAAAAAGATGCCCTCACATTCATGCCCCGTGCCGGATTCGAACCAGCCTCTCCCGCTCCATCCTTATTCGGCATTGTAACAGCGTGCGGGCGCGATACCATTCGCCACCAGGGCTTCCTCCTCACGGAGTTCACCCCGCATTGTTCTGTTGATTCGAGGCAGAGTATGCCGCGGCCAGAATATTGATCAATGGGTGCTGCGACTCCGCAGGAAATGTCGTCCTACCGAGTTCAGCGGCTCCTCTGCCAAGCGTTAAGTGTCTCCCCAGCCAGACGATTTGTGCTCACTTTTAATTTTGACTTGTCAAAAAAGAACGACTCCCTCGAAATACGACCGGGGCTGGATTCGAACCAACCTCTCCCGCGCTAGAAAGTGGGGGGATGAGCTACCGGGTGCGGGCGCGATACCATTCGCCACCAGGTCTTATGCCTACCAGCGCAGCCCTCGATTTTTAGTATAGTTTGATCAAAGAACGCCATGGACAATTCGGTCATACGCAACAAGAGACGCAATTCAAGCAATACACGTCTCAGGCGGCAAAAGTCGCCTCGTGACCTCACCTAAATTCATTCAGCTTCGCCTCGGTCAACTCGCATTGCACGAGGCTACTCCGATGAGAGTTCCTCTCGAGTCGAAGGTATCTGCACGCGATACAATAAGATACATAGGTTGAATTAAAAAAACGACGATTCACCAATGATCTGGCCTGGAGTCGAACCAACTTCTCCTGCTCCATAGGCTAAGGCTGTGACGGCACAACAGCGTGCGGGCGCGACGCCATTCCCCACCAGCTCTTATTTCAAGCAGAGCAGCCGTGTATTATTTGTCTGGCGATTATCAAGCAGTCGTTTCGCTACCGGGTGACGCCGTATTAAACCCTCCTACAACAAAACTATGGTCCTCCAGATGATCGCGCGACCGAGATACGCGCGAGGCGGAGGAAAGCGCAGGGAAGAAATTCGTTTGGGCACCCTCATGCCTTGCGCTGGACTCGAACCAGCTTCTCCCGCTCCATGTCGCTCAAAACCACTACAGAGTGCGGGCGCGATACCCTTCGCCACCAGGTCTTGTTTCTCTCAGAATAGACCCCGATTTGTACTCGGATGGTCCGAGACTAGGATGACCGTCGAATATCACACAGTCGTTGGGCTGCTGCTGTGATTGGCTCCGCCATTGTAGCTCAACGACAGTAGGATAGTATTTTATGCCTGCATATGTGCTAACGACAGACCCGGGAGAGGTTCCGCGTGCAATTCCCTACAAAACTCGCGTAATCCGGAGAGGCATGGCTCTCTCGCCGCTCGCAACGGCGGGCATGATATTGGTCATGTATCGCGGCCGGACAGCCTCGTCCACCTGCTCCGAAAACGAAAATTTACCGACCAATTCGTAGAATATGACTTGCATCTCCAATATCCTGTTGCCCCACCCATGATTAATAAGACAAATCTCGCAATGGACAAATGGCACACTCACGCAAAACGCCACCTGCAATTCGGTGGTTAGTCTTACGACACTGGAATGTTTTACATAAACGGACTTACCCGAGACATATGCGCGGCCCACCGAGGAAGCTCAGGCTACGTACGGTTTAGTTAATACACGCACCGGGAGATGAACTGATTAACTGACAGATTCGCGTACGGGCCAAGGCCTTCTCCCTGATAGGAAGCGCCTTCCAGCCAGCGAAGGGGGTTAAACTCATGGGCATCCTTCCCCCAACGCGATTCCAGTCTAGCATATGCATACTGAGATCGCGAACGGGGCGTGCATAATTCGACGAACCGTTGGTATGAACCGATGGCGAGGGTCACAAGTTGGCCCTTCTGAACGGGTATCTGGGTTATCTGCTCCCCTGTCGATGTGGTGATGCTGTCCCCTAACGGAATGACTGTGTCCTGCTGAGCGATGCGATCCGAGAGCGGCTGGGCTGGGTATAGCCTAAGTGTTTCCTGTGAATTGAGTAGTTAATTCGCATGGCTGTACGCAGGATGCGAGTAGGCCCTACTTTGATAAACGCATTCAGCAGCGGCATGTTGTCATAACCAACATCTTCGACGCCAGTCCTCGGAGTGGAGTGGATCTCGGCGCGAAGTTTATTTTGGAAATCAGGGTTCCGGGCGAGCTCCAGTAACCCGAACGCCATAGTGTTGGCCTGTTGAAACGATGAAGCGTTAAAACATGGGTATAGATCACCGCACGAAACATGCCGTTGTCTCCTGCCCAGCGACAAGAATAATCCCAGTCTGGGAGCGGATATCCTCCTCGCTCAGCTCCTTCTTCGTCTTCTCCAACGTATCCGTCACTGCGAAATTGCGTCGTCAAAATTTAAACCGTCTGCCTAAGGATATTTACCAAGCAAACCAAAGAAATCGTTGTTTATGTCCAGTCCCTGTCGGGCGGCTTCAACCTTCTCTTGGACAATTTGATGCCCGATGCGATCCGCAAGGTATCGTTCCTTGCGGATAACCTTGAAAGCTTTGGTTGGGAGATATATGGCAGCGCGCCAAAACCAAGCAGGCAAGTGTACTCCAATCGCGTCAGCCAAAATTTGGGCCTTGGATTGACTGGCTGAGAGCTCGCTACCAGGATTCATTCGCATCGGAGAGTTGTAACCATGCTAATTATCACTTACACTATCTTTATATTGTTCTCCACAAAATCTTGCCCTAACTCTTGAAGAGAACGACCCAGAATGGCTAGCAGCTTTGTCAGAGCACCGCTGCCGGAGTATACTGCGCTAGCCGACCTTCACTAATTGCACTAAGAGTCGCGGTGCTCAAGAGCGGGCAAACATTGGTAGCCTCCGCCATGGACTGTTCCATCTGGCCCGAAATCTGGTGAAGGTATGTTGGAATGCCACACTGCATTCCGAGATATCCTCACCATCTCCGCCACTTTTTGAAACACCGGTTGGTAACCGCGTACAGCTGCAGCGGAGAACCCGACGTTCAGGGCGGCACGGAGCCGGCGGTGTTCATCGCCTACATGTGCGACATCGGCGTCAACACACTCTCCGCGATTCCAACAGAAACGGACCTTTGGCGGTCATGACGCTCCCGCTCCCGAACAAGAAATACGCCAAGGTATCACGGATAGGTGACCGATAAAATTGTGGACTGTTTAGGATGTACTGCATCGCAAGTGGATCAGACACCATGAGGCGATCTTGCTGTGCAATGATGAATACGATGAAATCTTTAGGTCAGGAAATACTACCCCAAAACACCCCTTCAGTCGATAAACAGAGCCGTACAACTTTAGCCACTTGTGTTCGTTGTCACCGTACCGTGGTGAAAGTACCAATTGTGCCATGTGTCCTGGAGCGCCGTCTGTGAACCAACTTGGGATACGAAACGCAAAGCCTACCAAATATCCATGACGGGGATGGCGGTCCCACGATACTTCGGATGGTGCTCTGTCGTCGGACGACCCAATACAAGGTCAAGACCGAGATAAAGGCCGCGAGAGCAGTTGTATAGTTGATAGCGGATTGCATAATTGAATGTCCCTTGGGCGAGTTTGGGTGGAACGGGGAAACGACTGAACGTGGGTAGGGGAATGCATGCCCAGTTCCCCTTAAATACCTCGGGTCAGAAGACCGGGCGTCATGAGAGACCCAGAACCCTTCTCTCACCGTCGGTGGTGCAAAATATTTAGCGTCCATGCAACAAACAGAGGATAATCATTGGATGTACCGTTGTTCAGATGCGTGGTCGAGCGGCGATCTTCTGTAGGATGTGGGTGGACTTGCTGAACGTGCCGATCTATGTAAACTGGATTACTCCGAGTGGGGTGGGAAATTTTGGGCTGTCTTCTAGATATTTTAGACACCACGGGTCCAATTCGCTTCGATTCACACGGAAAACTAGTTCGAGTTGCGGCCATGGCAGGGACCAGGAGGTCAGGCTGCACAGCGATGTGCCTTTGTAAAGCACTGCTTGAGCATTTCGGAGCAATCCCGGCGCGATTCCGTAACTCGATTGACCAAGGTCCAGGAAATCCCGAGGACAGGGGAAAATCAGGAAGCATCTCTGAGATGCAAACAGGCCTGCCGAGCAACGTGGCCCGGCTGATTGGTCGACGATAATTCAATTCTGTAAACCGTGACCGTTAACGCAGATGCCGCAAACTAGACAGTTCAAGCCCAGCGTTGACTATGGTGAAGCAAAGACTGTAGTGGCTGAGCCCAGCAGAGTCCGGAGAAAGGTAGTTGGGAATAGCAGGCTGCTCCATACTCATGAGATCCAATTTAGAGATCGAGATCCAGGGACGATGATTACGCCCCAGCTTGCTAAGACTTTTGGAGAATTCAGAATAGACAGCAAGCCGCAGTGTAAATAAGCCTCAAGGAGCAAGATATTGCGGGGTGCGGGCGAGATTCGTCGGCTTTGTTCGCGGCGGGATGGTAAACCCACAGAATGAGGTTCTGGATGATAAGGCAAAAGAATTAGCGCCAGCGTGGTGGTGGTTTGGAATCAAGCAGCAAATCAGTGGCAGTGCTCGCTTGTTGCCGCCGAATCGGGCACAACTCCCAAAGCTCTGACGAGGTATTCTGCAGCGACCAATCCCTTCGTTGGATTTGCTTGGGAGTTGGTGCGCCATGAGAGATATTCCCCGGCGATTCCCAGACCTGGCCTGCGCAGCTGCCCAACTGATGTCGACTCTAAATCTACTGGACTTCAAGTGGATTTTCTCTTCGGCCCTTCCGTGCACAGGTATCACATCTCCCGGGGGCTTAGAATGACGTAGGCCCGCAAGATATAAGTGAGATCCGCGGAAGCTTACGCCACCCGCGCGGAAGAGGCTTGTCTGGCCTCACCGCACAGCCTTGGGGAGGTGAGACATTAGCCCCCTGCGGAGTATAAAGGCGGACGATTTCACTGAAAGATGCACAGTATCAACCCATTCGAACGACCACCGAACGGCAGGTGCAATCTGTACGGGTAAGACTCAAAGTATTTATTTCAACTAATCATCGCTCAACGTCGCCTAGGATCATTGTCCCAACGCGCACCCTATCAACGCTTCCAACCTCGACAAATCGTACTACAGGTACGAGCCTTCTCCTCCCCCTATCCCGCCTCGCTCACAAGCCCTAGATGTATCTCTCCACGACTTCCACTCGCGTTGTGCTCACCTCGAGCGAGTCGCGCACCCTCTTGCGCGCGCACATCTTCCACTCCGGTGACGTCGACCGCACACCGTGCCGCCTCGCATCCGAATACTACAACCACCTCGCGCACGACAACGGGATGCGCCGCGCGCTGCACCCCATTCCGGAATCCACCAATGATGGCGGCCGTGCCCGGCTCGGGCTCGGGCTCGCCTGACGCGCACATTCGCCGGTACAGCTACCCCACACGCCCCCGGCGCGCCTCGGAGCCGCTTTGGGAGCCCGTGAATCGCGTGTGTCATTTATCCGTCGTCCGCAGACAGCCCACGATTTCCTTCCGTTGAAACCGGATACTCAAAGTGTAAAAACAAATGTACTATGTACTCCCTTTACCCTGTATTTATTTATCCGTCTGCCGACTTGGAAATCTCCGTTGTATTACACTATCAATGACGAGGTTAGAAACTGGGATGTAGCCGAGGTAGGCAAAGGCGAGAAAAAGGCTTCTCGAACACGCCTGTCGAACGTCCCACCGAAAAAAAAAATGAACACCGCTGGAGAGCTTCAAGTATTTTTGGAGACATAGTATGTATTGTCTAACAAATACCGGTGCGCTAAATCTCGGCCATGAGAGACTGCAGGTGGAAACCGGACAGTACATAGACACGCACATTCAATCTCGCCGCGCCGCTTGCGCGCCACAAACTGATCGGCGTAGACCCATATATCGTCACCGCCCCGCGCACCGAGCTCCCAGTCGGAGAAACGGTAAGCTGCAACCACCAGCCGCAGGTCGTTGAATTGGAACGGCACGGCCGCGGTATAAGGTAATGCCCCGCTAGCTAAGAAGATTAAGTTGATTGGACAAAAAAGAGAAGCCACGATCGTTTGCCGGACGACCCGAGCTGGATTCGAACCAAGCTCTCCCGCTACACCTACAGCAGTGCGCGGGTGTGATGCTATTCGCCACCAGGTCTTATTCCAAGCGGAGTAGCCGTGGATTTGTTTTGCGATTTCTGTCGAACGCAATCACTTCATGACTTGCTTCATGGAGTGGTCTGCTGTTGTGCCGGTGCGCGAGCTGCACCCCCGCCCAGGACGAATTAATTCAAACGGAATGATTTCACAAAGGGAAAACCAACGAAAAAGACTGACGCGGAGCCACGACTTGGGCTGGAGTCGAACCAGGTTCTCCCGCTGCAAGTGTTCTTCTCGTTCGATCCACCGTGCGCGGGGGCGATGCCAGTCACCATCAGGTCTTGTTTCTGCCAGAGTTGACCCCGATTTATACTCGGATGGCCATCGAATATCATGCAGTCGTTTTTGTTACCAGGTGATGCTGCATCCGGCCTTCCTCCTTTTGCGAGGAGAAAAATTATGGTGTCGCAACATCTAATCGCGCGACATCGAGGCTCAGGACACCTGGGATATCCGACCAGGTGCCAGGGAAAAAAATGTTTGGACACGACTCATGCCCTGCGCTGGATTCGAACCAGCTTCTCCCGCTCGACATTTCAATGCGGGCGCGATACCATTCGCCACCAGGGCTTTCTCTTCACAGAGTTCACACCCGTATTGCTTCGTCGATTCGCAGACATACTGCACTTGCTGCGTGCGTGCGCCTCTCCTGCGAATCCGGAGTAAATATCGTCCACGTTCGCTTGCTCCCGAGCTGAGCTCCGCCAGACGATCTGTGTTCCAAGCTTACCTCACAGAAGAAAGAAATAACGCCGCCATGACGACCTGGGCTGGATTCGAACCAAGCCCTCCCGCGCTAGAAAGCGTCCACCAAGCTACAGGGTGCGGGCGCGATAACATCCTCTACCAGGTCTTGTTTATATCAGAGCAGGGCTCGATTTCTCCTCAATTGGAGCTTACCAATTGGCTTGTACATACAGGCGCGCCTCAAAGAGTCAAGCTGCAAGTACTTCTTCAACAAATCGCCTCCTCGCCTGTGCCCTCTCCTAGATTTACATTCGAACCGACTCCCGGTGCACAAGGTTCTTATAAGAGCAGCCCTCGAAGTCTCAGGTAAAGCCCCTAGCTAAGAGGATACTTAAGTTGATTGGACCAAGATATGCGCGAGACGCAGGAAAGCGCAGGAACAAAGGTGCCTTGGAGCGCTTGATACCTGTGCTGGATTCGAACCAGCTTCTCCCGTTCCATGTCGCTCAAAGTTGTTACAGCTTGCGGGCGCGATACCATTCGCCAACAGGTCTTGTTTCTACCAGATTGGACCCCGATTTATACTCATATGGCCGTCGGATATCAGTCGTTTTGCTCCCGGTTGAGGCTGCCGTGATTGGCTTCGTCATTGGAGTTGAACGACAGGATGATAGGATTTTATCTCTGCATATGTACTACTCACGACAGACCCGGGAGGGTGTCCGCGTATAATTTCCTACAAAACTCGCGTAATGCAGAGAGGCATGGCTCTCTCGCCGCTCGCAACGGCAGGCATGATGTTGTTTATGTATCGCGGCCGGACAGCCTCGTTCACCTGCTCCGAAAACGAAAATTTACCAACCAACTCGCAGAATATGACTTGCATCTCCAATATTCTATTGCCCCACCCATGATCAACAAGACGAATACCGCGATAGACGAATAGGATACTCACGCAAAACGCCACCTGCAATTCGACGGTTAATCCTACGACACTGGAATGTTTTACACGTGCTTACCCAAGACATGTGCGCGGCCCACCGAAGAAGCTTAGGCTACGTACGGATTTAGTTAACACACACACCGGGAGATGAACTGATTAACTGACAGATTCGCGTACGGGCCAAGGGCTTCTCCCTGATAGGAAGCGCCTCCTAGCCAGCGAAAGGGGTTGAATTCATGGGCATCCTTCCCCCAGCGCGATTCCAGTCTAGCATGTACATCCTGAGATGGCGGACGGCGTGTATCCATATAATGGAGCGAACCTTTGGTATGATCCGATGGCCAGCGTCACAAGCTGGCCCTTCTGAACGGGTATCTGGGTTATCTGCTGCCCGGTCGATGTAGTGATGCTGTCCCCTAGCGGAATGACGGTGTCCTGCAGAGCAATGCGATCCGAGAGCGGTTGGGCTGGGTATAGCCTGAGTGTTTCCTGGGAATGGAATAGTTAATTCGCACGGCTGTATGCAGGATGCGGATAGGCCCTACCTTGATGAACGCATTCAGCAGCGGCATGTTGTCGTAACCAACATCTTTGATGCCAGTCCTCGGATTGGAGTAGATCTCGGCGCGAAGTTTGTCTTGGAAATCAGGGTGCCGGGCGAGTTCCAGTAACCCGAACGCCATAGTGTTGGCCTGTTGAAATGATGAAGCGTTAAAACAGGGGTATAGATCACCGCACGAAATATACCGTTGTCTCCTGCCCAGCGACAAGAATAATCCCAGTCTGGGAACGGATATCCTCCTCGCTAAGCTCCTTCTTCGTCTTCTCCAACGTATCCGTCACTGCGAAATTGCGTCGTCAAAATTTAATCCGTCTGCCTAAGGATGGATATTTACCAAGCAAACCAAAGAAATCGTTGTTTATGTCCAGTCCCTGTCGGGCGGCTTCAACCTTCTCTTGGACAATTTGGTGCCCAATGCGATCCGCAAGGTATCGTTCCTTGCGGATAACCTTGAAAGATTTGGTTGGGAGATACATCACCGCGCGCCAAAACCACGCAGGGAAGTTTGCTCCAATCGCGTCAGCCAAAATTTGGGCCTTGGATTGACTGGCTGAGAGCTCGCTAGCAAGATTTATTGGCGTCAGAGAGTTGTAACCATGCTAATTATCACTTACACTATCTTTATATTATTTTCCACAAAATCTTGCCCTAAATCTTGAAGAGAACGACCCAGCATGGCTACAAACTTTTTGTCAAATCAGCGCTGTCGGGGTACACTGCGCTAGCCGACCTTCACTGATTGCGCCGAGAGTCGCGGTGCTCAGCAGCGGGCAAACATTGGTAGCCTCCGCCGTGGACTGTTCCAACTGGCCCGAAAGCTGGAGAGAGAGATGTTGGAATGCCACAATGCACTCCGAAATATCCTCACCATCTCCGCCACTTTTTGAAACACCGGTTGGTAACCGCGTACGGCTGCAGTGGAGAACCCAACGCTCAGGGCGGCACGGAGGCGGCGGTGTTCTTCACCTGTCAGTCCGATATTGGCGTCAGCACATCCTCCGGGGTCCGAACAGAACATGCCTCTGGCTGTGATGAGGCTCCCCCTCCCGAACAGAGAATACGCCAAGGTATCACGGATCGGCGAACGATAAAAATGCGAGCTGTTCAGGATGTATTGCATCGCAAGTGGATCAGACACCATCAGGCGATCTTGCTGTGAAACAATGAATACGATGAAATCGTTAGGTGGCGAAAAGTCACCCCGAAACACCCCTTCAGTCGATAGACAGCGCCGTACAACTTTAGCCACTTGTGTTCATAGTCTCCATACCGCGGGGAGAGCACCAATTGTGCTATGTGTCCTGGAGCGTCGTCTGTGAAGCAACTTGGGATAGGAAACGCGAAGCCTACCAAATATCCATGACGGGGATGGCGGTCCCACGATATTTCGGATGGTCCTCTGTCGTCGGAGGACCAAATACAACGCCAGGACCGAGATAAAGGCCGCGAGAGCAGTTGTGAAGTTGATAACGGATTGCATAATTGAATATCCGCTGCGCGATTTTGGGTGGAACGGGGAAACGGCTGAGCGTGGGCGGGGGAATGCACGAATACCCGGTCCTCCTTAAATACCTGGGGTCAGAAGACCCGGGCCACATGAGATTCTATCATCATCAGTGGCGCAGAATATTTAGCGTCCATCCAAATGAAGGATAATTAGGTGGTCGGGCGGTCTTCAACAGCATTTACGGCGTGGACGATGACTTTCCGGACTTGTTGAGGTTGAATGTGCCGAGCCATGTAAATTGGATCACTCCGAGTTGGTTGAGAAAGTTTGAGCTGTCGTCTAGATATTTTGGGTCCAATCTGCTTCGAATCACATGGAAAGCTAGTTCGGGTCTCGGCCAAGGCATGGAGCAGGAGGTTATGCTGGGGCCTCACAGAGACGGTGCAAAGTGCTCGACAATTGTGGCATAATCCCGGCGCGATTATGTGAGCCGAGGGACTCCGCACGCCTGATTGGCCAACGATCACCGGATTCAATTCTGGACACCGTGGCCGTCATAGCACATGCCGTACGAACGAACAGATAGCGCTTTCGACCCAGCGGGTTGCCTTCGAAACGATGGTGGATTATGAAGTAACTGGCGCAGCGCGGAGTGCTTGGGCGTCCGTGTTCAAAAGATCCACCAAATGAGACAGTTAAAGACCAGCGTTGACGACCGTGAAGCAAAGAATTTAGTGGCTGAGCCCAACAGAGTCTAGAGAAAGGCAGTTGGGAATAGAAGGCTGCTCCTTGTTCAATGAGATCCGTTTTAGAGATCGAAATCCAGGGACGAGATCCGGCACAGGCATCTCAGCCGTCCAGGAGAATTAGAATAGAGTACAACACAGTCTAACTCGGCAGCTCAACGACCGTTTCCCATGTCGTGAGCCACACATCGTCGGAGTTGGTCCGAGAGTCAGTCGCCAATCTTTCTGAGCCGCCCAGAGAAGCCTCAATCAAAGAGTAGTAAATTGCGGGGTGCTGCCGAGGCTCTTTCGCCCTCTTCATGAGTGTGGTCAAACTGTGGAATGGAGTACTAGTCTTGGACGGCAAGGCAATGATCGAGCGCCAGCGTGACGGTGGTTTGAAATCAAGCAGTAAATCAGTGGCAGTGCTCGCTTGGTGCCGATTCGGTAGCGACAACTCTAAGCTCTTTTCATCTTCTGACGAGATTTCTGCAGCAGCCAATCCCTGCTTTGGATTCTCTCAGGAATTGACGCGCCAGCGTCTCGGTGAGACATTCCGCGGTGATTCCCGGCCCTGGCTTGGACTGCTGTCCGGGCTGTTTTGGGGCTGTTGTCCAAAGGCTGATGCCAGTGACGATTCTGCTTCACTTCACAAACTGGACGTGCTCTTCCGCCTTTCTGTGCACAGGTATCACATCTCCTGGAGAGCCTGGAATGACGTAGGCCCCGCAAGACACAGGTGAGACCCGCGGACGCTCCCGCCACCCGCGCGGAGGAGGTTTGTCTGGACTCACCGCACAGCCCGCAGGAGATGAGACATTAGTCCTCTGCGGGGTATAAAAGGGCGGCGATTCAATTGAAGAATGCACAGTGTCGATTCATTCAAACGGCCACTCAGCGGCAAGTGCAATCTGTAAGGATAAGCCTCAAATTATTTATATCAACCAATCATCGCTCAACAACGCCTAGAATTATCGTATCACACCTCCAAGCCATCAACGCCTCCAACCTCAACAAATCTTACTAAAGGTACGAGTCTTCTCATCGCCCTATTTGCCCCTCGCTCACCAGCCCCAGATGTCTCTCTCCACGACTTCCACCCGCGCCGTACTCACCCCGAGCGAGGCGCGCGCCCTCCTGCGGGCGCACATCTTCCACTCCGGTGACGCCGACCGCGCACCGTGCCACCTCGCATCCGAACACTACAACCACCTCGCGCACGACAACGGGATGCGCCGCGCGCTGCACCCCATTCCGTCAATGACGGCGGCCGTGGCCGGCTCCGGCTCGCCCGACGCGCACATCCGGCACGCATTCCGCCGGCACAGCTACCCCGCGCGCCCCCGGCGCGCCTCGGAGCCGCTTTGGTAGCCCGTGAATCGCGCGCGTCATTTATCCGTCGTCCGCAGACAGCCCACGATTTCCTTCCGCGGAAACCGGATACTCAAAGTGGAGAAACAAATGTGCTCTGTACTCCCTTTACCCTGTATTTATTTATCCGTCTGACGAGGAAATTTCCGTGTTGTATTATACTATCAATGACGAGGTTAGCAACTGGGATGTAGCCGAGGTAGGCAAAGGCGAGAACAAAAGGCTTCTCGAACACGCCTGTCGAACGTCCCACCGAAAAAAAAAGAGGACACCGCCGGGAGAGCTCCCAGTATTTTCGGAGATGGCGCAGAACGTTATCATGCTGAAAGTGAAATCCCGCGCATACTATATATCGTCCAAAGAATAATGGCGCGCTAAATCTCGGCCATGAGAACCCGCAGATGGAAACCGCACAGCACATAGACACGCACATTCAATCTCGACGCGCCGCTTGCGAATGCGCGCGACAAACTGATCGGCGTAGACCCATATATCGTCGCCGCCC